TGATCACTTGCTACCTCTCGAATATGGTTCCTCCAACAGTCTTTAGCAAGATGTCCTGGCCTTCCACAAGCGTAACACGTTGCCACACCCTTGCCTTTCTGGTTTTTGCATTTACCTTTGACCCTGTAATCACCTTCCTTTCCTCTCTGATCTCCTTTTCCTTTCTTTCCTTTGCCCTTAGCATCTTTACCTTTGCCTTTCTGATGGTCATTCTTGCCTTTCTTACCTTTTCCTTTGGCATCTTGAACTCGATCAATGTACTGCTACTCGCCACCATGGAAGTAGCCCACTTCTGCTGAGAGCGGTCCGATTGCTGTTCCCTCAAAGTTGAGTGCTGAACATTGTCGCCAATTGTCAACTTCAAGTGTGGTTTGAGTTGTCCACCTACACATCTCAGAAGAATAGCAGATTTCAACTCTTCCTGAATTGCAGTCCCTGACTTGACCGTCTCATTCTTCAAACTTAAAAAAAACGCACTGTTCATAACAAGTGGTGGTCATTTAGTGGCTATTTGAAGAGTGCTAAGCCTCTCGCCTTCGAAGCTGGTTTCAAATCTTTATTCAAACTCCTCCAGGCATCAAGTCGATTGGAATCTTCCACAGCCTTCACCAATTACAGCGCCCTTCCTCTCATCAGTCAGCGAACAATCCATAACGCTTGATGCGCCTGGTCTTCTCTGTTTCAGTTGCCAAGTCCATATAGGCTTTGCTATCAGTTTTGACCTATCTGTTGTTGATGACTCCTTTTCTTCAACTGCTTTCTTCACTGCCTCATCTTCTCTGTGTACTAATGTCTCTTTGACACAAAGTACTGGGCGCAGAGTGTTACTAACAACAGTTCTTCACAAGTCCAGCTGTTTGGGTTCCAAAGGCCCCAAATCTATGGCTCGAAATCGCACTTGGGACCCCAGTGACCTAGAGGCTTTTCTATGGAGCTCAAAGGGGGTTGCCCTTATCCCAGCTCCACTACCATACGCACTTTTTCTTGACACTCAAAAGGGCTGCAGTGGGGTCTCATGCATGCTCATGATGCAAACGATGTCACACAACTGTACTATAAGTGGAAAATGGTCGCATTATTTTACATAATATATACACTATATATTGTTATGTACTGCACACACAATCAGAAAGGTCCATAGAAGTCCACTGACATGGCCTGGGAAATCACGCAGTGTTTTGATCAGCCAATCCTGTGTCAAACTTCGTGATATAAGCCCATTTTTGCACTGTATTGTTTTATGGGTCCGGAGAGGTTGTGCTCACCCTGCTGTCACTCCACCTTTGCCATTGCGTGGGCAGCTATGCTCCTAATACATAATACCTACCTGACCTACCTTTTTCCTGTGCCAGCAAGACGGGGACCCCCAGTCTCCCACAATGCCCCCGCTTGAGAGACTGCGGACGTGTACGACATGTTGCTTGCTTTCAGACAGCTGACATGTGCATGCCATGAACTTCTGCCTACGGAAAAAAGTCTCAAATCTTGATACATTCACAATGAATTAATTGATTCTGCGCAAACCACTCTTTTGGCTGATTCACGCAGCACGACAAGGCCCGCAAGTGGACTTAGAATCTGCAGCTCGAAGCCGGAACAAGTCTGGTCCACTCCACGGATGAGTGGGCACAGGTAAAATTCGGATTGTCGGATGAGAAAGCTGGCAGACCAGACGGTGACATCGCTCATGACTGGCACTTGATCACATCCACTTGCCAATGAAGAGTGTAATGTAGGGAGATTGAGGTCTCGATGGTCATGGTCATGGTTTTCAATAACTTCAAAATCACGCTCAGGATGGCTGAGGGGGGCAACACCTACGAACGTGCTGCTCCCCTTGACTTGGGAATTCGATGCGCAGCCAGAAATGCGGTGCATGTCATTCCTTGACACACCAGCCTGATTCAAGATACTTAAGAACTGCCCAAAGCTAATGCGGCCAGAATTTGTTGGATCACATCTGGCCAAAAGCACATCTTTCCTGGAATCATCAACATTACATGCTGCCAGGAAGCTTGCAAACAATGGTTTCAATTCTTGCAGCGAGAGATATTCTTCTTTGTCTGCAATGGGTTGAACCATTCGATGCAAGGACCTATGGACAGAGTCCTGCTTCCACCACACAGCTTCTTCTGGATTGCGGGTCAAAATGACTGTAAGAGGTACTGGTACACTGGCTGCAAGTATTTTGACGGACGTCAGTTGGTCAAACCGCAGCCGAAGCACAGAACCCAGGTGTCCAAGGCTAGGGCTACTTTGTTCAAATGGCTTGCTGTAGAATGTGCCGAATGACCCAACAAAGGAAAAATCCGTTGCTATATTGGGCCTCAGTTCTTCAACAAGGATCGAGTCACTGTCCAGCCATGCAAAATGCACTTGAAGGTGGCCAGTGCCCAGATCACCGGGAAAAAATAATGATGGGACGACTCGGTATTCACTGCATCCCATTGGGGACAACTCTTCAACACAAACGATAACAGAAACATCCCGTTTGCTGCAGAATGGTGTTTGCACCAAAATGCGCCGTCGATTTCGGGTGCAGCAGTTCAAATCGGTGTCCACTTGATTGACAACATTCTCTTGGATGAGGAACGTGAGTCCAAGTTGGGGATACATTGACTGGCAACCGAATTCATGACACACGCGCCTTGCATCAGGCTGAGAAACGGTAATGGCCAATGGTACCGGATGTGTCGCAGAAACTCTGAACATGGAGTTGGTGTGAAAAGATGGAAAATTGGAGCAACCGCCCGCATTCTCATGGGTGATCTGCAGTGAAAAGGACGTCTTCCGCAATCCTTGTGCATCAAATACGCATCCAAAGGTGGTGTGGCAGATTGAGAGGCGATTGAAGAAGCAAAGAAAGTCTTTGCTCTCGACCCAAAAAAGTATGTTTTTGACACTCCGAGCACGCTGGATCCAGAATTTCCAACTTGAGTTCAGAACCGGTTTCTTGCACCACGTCCGAAATGACGTATGAATGATTTGTCCTGATATGTTGATGCAGTGGCAAATCAGCACCCCTTGACGCCCATGAACATGCTAGCAAGCTACCCTCTTCCCAATGTTGCGCAACGCGCGAGGAATAGTCAGGTGCCCGCAACAAATTGAGTTCTTCCACTGGAAGTGCGGTCAAATCCATGAGCGCCTCATCAATATGACCTCCAATCAAAGAAGCGTAAGAACCATAGGCCTTAGCACAGGCCTTTTCTATAAAACACGCATACAGCTCTCGAGGCTCTCCCACAAAATGATGTGCGAAAGCCGGTTGTCCTTGAAAGCAGGGCAATAGGGTGTCAATTGTAATCTCTTCCCAGGAACCGTTCAGAAAGAGCCTCACTGTACACCATCCTTCTTCCGGTTTGTATGCAACGAATAGTTGGCTCAACAGGCGAGGTTGTCTGGCACAAAGGGCAATAGCGGCCACCAGGTAGCAGTCAGACAAAATACCCTGAGTGACGTTTCGCATTCCACATGGCTTTGGCTCAGCCAACGACCCTTCAAACAGCACAGTTCCTGAAGACGTAAGCTGGTCTGGACGCAGCCATTCCAACCTTTCAAAGCACCGTCGGATGCCTTTCACTCCCCAAAGCGATGCATTAGTGGGCGGGAAGTTCGGATCGACAAACATTATCAGAAGGCTGAAAGGTTTGAACTGCAAATGCCACTTCACTGCTCATCTTCTTCACGGTCAAACCAATCCATGATCCTCTTCAAAAACTCACACCAGAAGGAAACAAGGCCTCCTTGCGAGGGGGTACCTAAGGGGGCATCCATTTGAGGTGCTACATGCTCCCTTTTGCCAGTGCTCCTGGCTCCCAAACAGAGTTTTGTGGGATACCTGGATAACACTGTCTGTCTCTTTTCAGGGCTGGGTGTTGAGATGTTCGCTACGCCACCTCAATTGTTCCAACGTTAGGTCCCATTTACGGTTTTGCCACCAGACGCATTTCATCACGCCACCTTCAAAGCCTGGCGTCCTATGCAAACAACAGCGGCCGAACACAACTAGCTCGATCAGAGACAGCCCAAAAAGCAAGGCATACCAGGCAACTTAAGCAACCAAGCAAGCCCAAACAGCCGGAGACAACCCAGCACAGCTGAGGCTTCAGTCGGGCATGGCTGGCCGCGCAGCTTGACATCGCAAAAGAGGTGACCTATGCAACCCAACGTCGAAAACAGCCAGCCGGAGACACAGGAAGGGCGACCCAAGCAACCCACGCACCCCAAAAACATGGAGACAAGAGGAGAAAACCCCACAACCAGCAAAAACACTCTCTCAAAGGCATAAAAGCCTCTTTGAGGGAAAATGAACCAAGGCCAAGATGGGCAATGTCCTAGCTGCAGTTCGCCCTGAGAACTCAAAGAGGCACTCGACATGACCCATGTTCAGTAGCGCTGAATACTCAATGGACTGACGGACGTCGTGTTCTTTCCCTGAGACTCCATGTCCTTTGCCAATGCGATGGCGCCGGGGCTCTGTTCTGCGCTAAGGAAAGGGGACAAGACAGGCCCGTTGGTCATTGCAATTGAAGGTGTCAGTAGGACTTCGTCGATGAATTTGTCTCAGTAAATGTGCTTTGGAAAGGTTCAGAGTGACTCGTTCTGCCTCTTTCACCTGCCCCTTTTCGAAAGTGACCCGAGTACCAAATGGTCAAATCGGGGCCCAAGCCCTCACTGAGCCATTGTGAGTTTTCATGCTTGAAACTATGAGCCACAGGAGGTCCGCAAATGAAACTCACAATAAGTTCAATTTGTCGAAATGTGTTCATATTGCAAGGACCCCTCGACTCCCTAGAACAATCTAACATTAGACTGCTGAATGTCTTAGGAAAAATTAGACACCTGTTTGTCTGTCACCTCCCACATAGGGTTAAACATTCCACGTCCTACATTGATCAGCAACCTGTGACTAAATGGATTCAAACAGTCAACCTTGCAAGAGTTTGTCGATTTCTTCTCGCAAGGGCAAAGCGCACAAGAGCGTGTCTGTATGTTGTCTTGGGGAGTGGACTGCTGACAAACTTCACGAGTCAATCAACCACGACATCTCTTTTGCCAGTGCACGCATGATCTCCTTCAGAAACCAAACTCGTCTCACTGTGTTTTGCATTCGCCCTGCCGAGCAGCCCGATACAAAGCAAACTTACTTGGGGCACGTGTTGTGATTCCTCGCGCACCACACAATATACACAATCCCTGTTCCATGGTCACTGTAAGGGCTCTGTGCTGTTCTTCATGCGTGTTCTTTCTGAAGAAACCTTCTTCTTGGCTTTATGTCCTTGATACGTCCTGTCTTTCCATGTTTAAACTTTTTTTCCTCCCTTTATTTCTTCCTTGTTTTTAACTAGGCCCTTAAATTTAGTTTACCAGCGCCGCGGGATGCCTCTGCTTTTTGCGGAGGTTCCGGCTCTGGTCGTTGCCTCAGAAATAAGTTCAAGTAAGGCTTTCAGTGCAGTCTTTGTTTTACTGCCAAACGCAAACTATCTGTTACAATGCATAGGAAACTCCAAAGTTGCAGGTCGCCCAGTCAAAAGTTGAATAATTACTCGAGTCTGTCCCTTTGCCATCCTGTCTTGGACCCTCACTCCTCCTCATCGGATTCGTCTTGACCTCATTTGTCACAGCAACTACTACCGCTCCTACTGCTCCTCCTACTGCTCCTGCCGCTCCTACTCCTAAAAGGCTCGAAGGCCCTCTGCCATTCTATATGATTCTATAAACTGCTTCCAACTCTGCGAGCAAAGCAATGGGACCTTAAGGAGCGCGCCCTTGCCATTGGTATCCTGCTTCTTGTCGAAAGAAGGGATTCCAAACAGGCTCGGAACTGAAACCTCGAAGCCACTTGCAGCAATATCTTCTTTCAGTACAAGTACGTACAAGTATGCGCGCTCCCGCAACATTGACGTTTTCGAGGGTGAGCAAACCTTCACCGTGGAAGTCTGAGCTTTGGAGACCAAACACCCAGCTCTTGGGTCTGCAGCTACTCATGCAGGTGACCATGTGGTTGTGAGAGCAACAATCAATATCCCCTGGTCTAAAACACCCTTGCCAGCTCACCTGCAAGCATCATACAATAGGATCCTGATTACAGTATCATTTATGACAGACTCGATCCATATTATGTTGAAGCTTGGACTTGAGGCACGTCGAAGGCCGAAGGCCCAAATGTGCGGTCCGTCCGAGCTGCTCCTGAGCCTGTCTCGGCGGGTGCCTCATGGCCAGGCCTAGGACCACAAAATCTGAACGCAGGAAGCATTCAAGAATGAGTTGCGCCAAAGTGGTGCTTGGGGAATGCAAATGACAAATACATAATGCAAACATATACATATATATATACATACATACAAACCTTATCTAGATATATGAGGGCTCATGTACTTTTCTTGAGAGGCTGGAAGTAATGCAAGTATGTAATTCAGCAAGCGCAAGTGACTTGGGGGTCCGGCTCCTCTGGTTTCACATCAGTTTCATACCTGCCAAGGTGTGTGAAGTTTCTGAAGCAAATGGCAGGTTCAATGAACTCAGGACAATCGGCGAGCAAACAAGTCGGCTGCTCTGTTCCCATGCCTGAGGACTTGTGTAGAACTTTCCAGGGTCGAGATCATAGGTCTACATGGCAGGAATAGGCTTGGAACAAAGTATCCACAGAGGAGGTTTCATCAAAGCAACCCGGCCCATTGCAAACCTTGCAAACTTTTGCGTATAGGACAGCTTCTCTGCCGACATGTTTCTCCAATAGCGCCTTGCATTCAGCTGTGTGATTGCTCCAATTCCCGCACAGCATCTGCTGGCTACTCCTGCAAGTAATATTGACCAGCGCCTGGATGTTTTTCAATTTGTGAGGATTCCGCCGACGATAGACCGCTTCTATCTGAACAATTGCTGGAAATTGATCTTTTTCTGCATGGTTTTGTATCCACACACTCTTCATACACCCTCTCGGCCAAAACCATCAGTTGAATCGGTCATATTGTCTTGGTTTGTTTGTCCAACTAAGTGTGTTTTTTCTGCCTGGCAGCGCCAAAATCCCACTGAGTCTGTGGATTCCTTTCTGTTGACTGCTTCCTGGCGCCGCACTGTCCGACCCTCTCTTCTGTTGCGCAGAATGAAACCATACAAAATATGGTTTCTGAACCCGCTGCCTCTGCTCCAACATTCTGTACATCCTTTTGCCGATGAACGTGCAAGCACACGGCTCTCTCATGTGTACACACAATAGTGTGTGTGTGTGTGAACATTGATCTATTGATATATACATATATATACAATAAATCATGTAACTATATTGCTTGCACAAAAAATAAAAATAAAAACAAATTCTGATGACGGGGCCACCAACAAGCTCCTATGTTGGCTTTGCCTCCGCAACGTCGGCAACTGCAATGTCTGAAGTCCATCTGTACCATATACCTTTAATTAAACCATCTAACCTGCAAAGAAAGGGTGCTCTCCAAGCCAGTCCAGACAAAGAACAAGAAAACAAGTTACCCTACACATCAGGCATCGCTACCTTGCAAGTGATGGGCATAGACTTTGAAATGTGAAAGCTGACATGGGCTTTGACAGCATGAAGGGTCCACGGGGGGGGTTGCCCGGAAAGCAAACGTTTCCGACCACGGAACAAAGTTCTCCTGGCGGGTGGGGGGGGCTGAGGACAACTTGATCTTCGCGCTGCGCTTTTGGGCGTTGCGATGCGAAGCTGCAACGAGAGCCATTGAAGGCCTCGCAGCATTGTGGTTCAGCCAACATCCGGGGTTGTACTCAATGCTAGAGGCTGTGGAAATACACAGAGAGGCTGTGGTCCGCCAGCTCAAAAGAACAGTGAGCTGTCATGGCTCAATTGGGAAGAGGACTGATGTCGTGGCGCATGGGACTGACAGGTCTTTGGATGGTCTTAAAAGTGCACTCAAGTTATCGTCTTGGAGTTCACGAGAAGTTGAGTGTCCCGAAACCCAAAATACCCTGTAAAACGCATTGTTTTCTGGCCCTTTGCATGTTGCAGTCCGGGCAAACCCTCTCCGTTTACCCAACATGGAGCAAGACCTCTGGTCAGACATCAGCTTTGACATGCATCAAGGCATGAAGACTCGCATATGCCCTCTGGGCTGGAGAACCACCAGGGTCATTCACAGCGTTACTCGGACAATCTGGACGAGTCGGAGGTGCCCATCCTAACTCAGGCAGAGCTGGATAAAGCCTACCGACATCATGTCAAATCACTGGAGCAGATCCGCAGACTGACGCGCAACTAAATGAAGAACACATTGCAGCATTGAGGGCCAAAACATGTGTCAGAACATATGTCAGAATGTGTTCATGTCAGATGTATGTCAGGTTGATTCGCTTTCCTATGTTTCTCAACGCGCCGCCTGTCCACCACCCTTGCACAAGTTCTGACTTGTTTTCTGGCATGAAGGTTGACAAAATCCAGACATGTGTTCCGAAATATGCCCTGACATGTGTGTTAATGCCATCCTTTCTGGCATGAAGACTTGCATTTGACTTGGCAAAAGTTTGGCATATGTTCTGAAATTAGGCCTGACATGGCCCTGACATACGTTCCGACACGAAGACTGCCAGGGAGTAGCAGTACGAGTAGCCTGTTCGAAGGATGTGGATGAGGTGCCTTCCATGGAAGGTTTTAGAGGACGTTTGGGTATATATCATTGTCCAAGTAGTGATAATCGCTCCCCAATCAGCACCTGCCTATATGTATATGGACAAACCTAGCTAAAGGAATCTGTTGGGGACGGTCATGGCCTGCACCCGTTCCCTTATCTATTCTTTTACAACCAACCAGGGGCGGTCAACCCAAATCATACTGTAGATTTTGTCCAATCCTCATTTGCATTGGATATCCATGGGTCCATGGACGCATGATTGCTGTGTTTGTTCAATGCCTTTGTCATCCTTTGTCTGCGGAGCAATTCTCATGGCATGGCCAAAGCTTCCTTCTCAAGCTCATCTGCCGTCCGCTTCATAGCACAGCGCAGGAAGGATACATAGAGTTTTGTGTCCCTAGTCTGTCCTTCTGCATTGTCTGTGTCCTGATTTTGGAAAGCAACACTTTTAGCAGGATTTTTTAATACTAGTTTGGTGACGGCTGATTGAATCTCACCATGTTCCAAACAGTGGCGACACGTGCAATCGAATTGAAAGTCTTAGGTTGCAGACGACATAATGACACAACAGCATTGATGGCTACGAGCCAAGTAGCAAAAACAATCAAACCTTTCTCTATGAATTCAGCGTTTGATTGCTGATGCAGGATCAATGATTCCAGGCTCAATAAATGTTGCATCACCGAAAATCCACAGAGAGAACAATAAAGCGTGGGCAGGACAGAATCTCTTTTGCATGGCTCGACGAGTCTGGTTCGCTTCGCCACCATGCAGGTTGATGCTTGTCCTCAGGCACACTAGAACTGCTTCAAAAGAGCCTTTGCAAAGGCCAGGCTTCCAGCTCGATAAGCAACACCCCAGGTTCTTTGCGGCAATACCTTTGCAAAACCGAATTGACCATGACCAGCGCAGCAATTCTACTCAGACCTATGCCTGCTGCTTGCGCATTGCAGCTTCCAAGCGCAACAGCACGTGCGCATCCGTTGCAGCATAGATCACCTGTAAGATGTTGTGTACCGAAAATCTATGATAATAGAGTTCGGTTTGCAATGACACTTTCACACATTTTTGTCCCCACCTGAACTGTGCTCAACGGGCGGAAGTTCCAATTGCTGACCTAAGCAACCAAGTCGAGCGGGACCTGTCAAGCATTTAATGGCGTAAGCGAAGGAAGAAATCAATACATGCATAAAGTTGCATAAACATAGCAAGGACGCTACTAGGGGCTCCTGGCATCGCTACTAGGAGCAAGGACGCTACTAGGGGCTCCTGGCCGTACTACTAGTAACAAGAAGCTATTAGAAACAATAATATCCAAAAATATCTCGCCTTCGTTTCTCGCTCTACTGTCTTGGCCAGGTGACACGGTATTGCTTGCTCAAAGACTCTCCCAAATAAGTGTTGACCTCGACAAAGCTACACAGTGGAAGAATTGTTCGTCGAGGTGTTCGAAAGCAAGCCCAGGGTCCTTCATCTAGGCGTTGCAAAGCTTCTTGCTAAAGCCAAGGGTCTAATCGAGACAAGGATTGATGGCCACCAACTGTGAAGACTTGCTCGGAATGCTCCTCGCTGAAACAAAGGCATTTTGCATGGCACCTCTACCATGTATATAGATACTACACGCACAGTCACAATCAGTCCACTTCAGCCACTGGCATCCTATGGAAATTATGCTCCATCCATGTCCTCCAGCGGATAGGGAGGTAAAGGATCTTCTCCAAGTCTCCCAATCTTTTCCAAGTCGTCTGCCTGGCAGAGATTTAATTCACATCGAAGATTCAACACGCAACTCACATCTCAAGGCCTTAAGAGCTTCTCCCATAAGCATCTCACGTCCCAAAGGCGTGTCCTTCAAACCCGCTCGGCTGCTTGGTAAGCATTGAATGTCATAAAAACCACAAAGACATCTTCCCAGAGCTCAAAGAATACAAGTGGTAGTAGGTGGATGCAGGCTGGACCATGATCAATTCGGATCGATACTTGCTCTTCTCCTGTTGTGATTTGGCTTTATCAATCTGCTTCCTCTGGTTTTGTCGAATAAGGTCCGATTCACACTCAAGAGGTCGAAGGTATTTTCAAGGCATTGCAGCATTCCATTCAGAAGGCAAAAATGTTAAGTATCCGTCTGATCTAACTGAAGAGATTGTTGAAGCCCGACCACGCATACTCTAGATTCTAGATGAATCAAGGAGCTGGGCGACTTCGCAGAAAAGACTGCCAACAACAAGCGATGTAGCCCCATTGGCAGGGAAAGCTTCTGGAAAAACATTGACAATTGGTTGTGTCTTGCCAATTGAACATAAGGCTTCTCGTTGGTGGCTGGTTTGCCATATTTGTCCATGCCAAGCATTTTGTCCGGTCCATTGGCTTGATTTGTCGTTGGATGCTGATTGCTGTCTGGCTTCTTGAACAATAACACGTGTGCATCAAAACATAGAGGTTGTTCGGCGCCAGCTGCACACGAAAGAGGCTATCTCCAATGTGAGTCTTCTCGGTTCTCAAGGCTGCCTCTTCCCTTTAGCATTTGCCTCCAATGCATGTTTAGGCCTTCTGTCGTTACTTCTCCCCAAGAATCAAGTCTATTCAATGGTCTTCCACCGATAAACACGCTTTACTTTTCTGTGTTCTTCTCATGATTTCGCGCTGGCCTCGCATGTTCTCCAGCCAGCCTTTTCTTCGCCAATTCAGGCTATATTAAAATGAGAAATGTTGTCCATTCAACCCATTCGCTTCAAACCACCTATTCTCCTTCCACTATGTCCACTAGGTTCTGCACACTCATCCCTCATAACAAAAGAACTTTTGGGGTGGCACAAAGGGAAACCAACGCTTGTGGAGTCAGAAGCGGTTGTTTTTAGTCCTCTGCACGTGGCTTCTTGACATCTATTCTGCGGACTCGCTGCATGTACAAGTCCAAGACCTGGGAGCAAAAGCGGCAAACATTTCAGAGGTCAGTGGAATGTGTCTTGGCCGCGTACACTGGCAAGGTAGTCTCGGCTGCCAAATGTGCGGCCAAAGGGTCCAAACAACATGTTCAAGCGAATTAGGTCCTTAGAACTAAATGCTGACGAACTGTACAAATAGCCATTGTGCTGGGGTCGTCTTAAGCCCAGGTCGTGTGGAAATCCAAAAAAGAGCTTCGTAATGCTTTCCCGCCTGAAAAGTGCTGCAAGTGGGAATGTCAATGGAAATCAAGCTGTTGAATCGAAAAAAGATTGAAAAGGCACTGATAGTATCTGAGTCAAAAGCTTTAAGAGGTATTCCACCAAGCAATGCAAAACCTCAAGGCCAAACTCAGTCATTCTGCCATGCATGTGGTTGTGGAATGCTTTGGTCCACACAGCCATATATAGAGGCCTCAGTGATCGAGTCCATTACAAAAACAATAGTACAAGTAATAATAAGAATAATAGCAAAATAAATCATAAGCCTATCACTCCATGACCACAAAGATTAGCTTCTGACGTTCGGTTCACACAGTCCAGGACAAAAGCTCGGCTCGGCCTGTGAACGCACAAGCGCAAACGGGAACATACAAAAGATTTACGCGTTCAACGAATGGCCACTCGTACGTAGAAAATATGGATGTTTACAATGCCAAGTTCCAACTCCTAGGTCATGAATGCAACAGAATGTAACGGATATTGTTGCTGTTGACAGAGCCCCTGTGCTGTTTCAAGATCTCTGAATGTCACTTGAGTGCAAGTTTTGGAACAACGGCATTGCAATCCTTGCCATGCTACCAACCAAGGCCGGGGCGTTGCTATCTGTATAATAGACACTGGCCTGCCGTGCTTGGACTGGAAAAAGAGCGGGCGTTGAGCAGCACAGAGGCTCCAACTGTGGATCAGACCACTCAAGGTCAATGCCAATGTATTCGGGGGCCGCCTAAAAGGCAAAGTTTGTTCCTCTTCAAAACATGAGGAAAAAAGCATGATAAGTTTGTCTCATCTCAGGCCTGCTGGAAGAACGTCAGCACCTGAGGGTTTCTGAACTTTAGAGCCCAACAATGTATAGATGTCTGGATTATCACAAAAACAGCTATCCTTTTAAGGGTCCCAGACTGATTCATATTGATGTTGCCTTTTCAATTGTTGCCTTCCCTCAGCATAATTTTGGCATAACTAGTTTTGGCAAGTGACGTGAGAGAGACCTTGAGCTGAATCAACAAAGTGGATTGCATCGAGCGGCAGCGTAGCGGAAGGAGATGGCAGTGCCTTAAGTGAAGAGGCTGTTCAGCGTCAAGCTGGCGTCACCAATCCCAGCCTCTGCTTGGCGCAGCAGATTTGATTCCTGACCCGAGCCACAACAACTCAACATAGCTCAACAGTTCAAAAGTCTGCTCTTGCACACCGGCGTTGATTTCAGGTTTCCTGGCCACATTCCTTTGGAGACTCCCAAAATCACGTGTTGTGCTAGCTTGGCCTCCATTGAGCTTGGTTCCCAAAGGGCCACATCCTCGGCTACTATATCCATATTCAGAGGGCAGCAACATCTGAATTCAGGAGATATGTGGAGACAAAGTGGCCTGAGGTGAATGGAAACGGGGTGACCTGCTTGGCATGGACTGATGCAAAATGCAAAGGTACGAGATGAAACGAGACAGATTGAGAGGCCCGGAGTAGTATATATGTTACAAACTATATAATCAGAAGTCGGCTTTGTACATTGACATGTTCTTCCTCGAGCTTGAAGACGAAGGTCGGCAAAAACCGGAAGGATCAGAGTGTGAAATGTAATCGACAAATCCGAGATAGCATGGGATGAGCTAAGGCTGAGGTGAGGTGACAAGGCACCTATCAAGTCTGCAAGTCTGCAAGAACACGTTTGTCTGCAGTGGGCGCACATTGGATGCTTCAGCTTGAGCAAGCACTTGGTATGCATCGACCTCATTGTGCAAGGAAACACCATCAACAATCGTTGCTTCCTAATCACAACGCTTTTTGACGTTGAAACTTGGAAATACTCGTGTGTGTGTGTGTGATGTGTTTATGTTTCTTGTGATTTCAGTTCATGGATTCAGAGTCTGCATGTTTGAGTTTACAAGTTCATTTGAAAACAAGAATTACTCGAAACACACATGCAAAAGCTGCTGATTCCCGTGACTGTATTTCTCATGATGTCCTTGTGATTGAATGTTGGCTGCAAGTGTTCTTTTGAGTTGATTGGTTAACGCAGAGTTCTTGCCATCCATATGTATCAATTTAGAATTCTTGCATCTGGCTCATCTGGCCAACCATGCAACCATGCATTTAGCTTTCAACTTCAACGGTGACAATGGGGTTTGCCCAATCTGCTGCTTCAAATGCCAGCTCTGCAGGATGGCCCTGGATACCAAGGCATCCAACTCTAGAACGCGGTATCATTAAGTGGATGTGTCTAACCTCAAAGGGGGGCC